TAGCTTTTTAAAATACACTGTTGGGTGTTATCTTTGTGGGCTCTTTGAGACCCCTCTCTGAAGGAGGACTTGCCCAGCAGCTGGAACGTTGCCTCTGTCCTCAGCTTGGCAGCAAGACCCACCAAGTCTGTTCTGCTCAGTGCTGAGACCACCTCACTCCCAAACCTGCCCTCACCCCATACTGCTTGCTTCTCCAGCGACCCTGGAACTTTCTACACAGTGGTTTCCTAAGATCCTGATGTAGAAATCAGGTCCCCAAATAAATTATTCCCCTGCTGTGCCCCCCAAGTTCTTCAAATGAGTGTCATGCGTCCCTCATTCTCCGTGTCCTCTCCTTAGGAGAATCCTCTGACTATTCAGAGCCTCGGGTTTTCCAAATGATCCATTCGTTGGCAGAAAAGCAAGAAGTTCCTCCTCCTTTCGGGAAGTCTGAGGCCATCCAGCTGCATACATTTCCAGCTAAGCGTCTCTAGGGGTTTTCTTAAAGTGAGGAGAAATGGGGTGCTTCTAACCCTCCTGAAGTCTCCAGCTGGGAGGTCAACGGGAGGCCTGTCCGCCCCTGGCCACAGAAGCCCTCTGAGAAAGGCTGACAAGTGTGGGGAGTGCTCAGAACTCTGAAAGCCATCACCTCCTCCTTACAAAAGGGGTCCCTCCCCCTGCACTCCACTCTGCCCTGGCTCCAGATCCTGAGGCCGCCCCTGGTGGCCCCATAACAGATGCCTAAGAATGCCACCACTCACTCCTTCCTGATCCCCTACTCCCATTCACAAGGCTTTGTTTCTTATGCTGTTTGCTAAAGCTCGGGACATATTTCTCTATACATTTTTTTATCTGAATTATGATCAATGAAACAATTTCAAAGGATTGGGTCTAATTTGTCACTTTCCACTTTTAGCTCATTGAAACATGGCTACTTATTTCTTATTGAGATTTTCCTATCAGATTAATTTCGAGGGTGGGGGTGGGAAGGGATGTTAAATAGCTGCTATTTGAGAGAGTCTTTGCATACTTAAATATTTAACAGTTGTCTTGAAATCAAATAAAAATGGAGAAATTCGGTCTTAAGTTGTATTTTAAAGAATTTGCACTTAGTAAATACCAGTTCTTAGGAGAATTTTAGAAAGCTCCCTTGTGTCCTTTTCAACAGATCCTTATTCAATGCCATATTAAGCTGGAGTTGCATCTGAAGTTCTGGAGTATACAAATCAAAATAACATGCTCCATGCCTTATTGACATACCTTATAATCAAATAAGGAGATCATAAATTCATACACTAGCATCTAACATTCTGTTTTGGAACAAAGCATGGGATAAATAATACATTCATGAAAAGTGAAAGACTATCTGTGATTCAGAAAAATGTATTCCTTGAGAAGCAATATGATGAACCTCTTATTACTACACAGTAGACTATAAAAGTCAACACGGTAGACTGTACTGACTTTTGAAGTTCCCCTTCCCACACAAAATCATACAATAAATCCAAATTAAAATTTTTAAATACACCATTGAACTTGAAATTAAGAATGGAAATCCCCAGATAGGAGAAATGAGTACAATATTCAAAATCAGTGTAGTGAGCAAGAGCTAAACCCAGTGACCTATAGAGGAGTTCCCTATGGAAACCAGGGTTGGGAGTAGAGCTCAGAGTCCCAGGCAATATCAGCCCCTAGTAATGGGCCCTTTCATAAATGTGAGAACCAGGCCGTACAATGGAAACTAGATTATCCTGCCCTCTAGGCCAGGGAGGCAGCAAAAAGGCAAGGAAACCCACCTCAAACCTTGCTCAATGTGTTGTATGAATTTGCATGAAGAAATGCAAAAAATCAGAACTAATCAAACTGAAACCCTTTCGGCCTTGGCACATTCATTTGATCATTTTTTCACTCCGTTTCTGGTTTTATCTGAATGCTCGGTGCTGTTTATATAATAGCCAAACTCTTGACCCACAACAGGGGGACCTATGCAGACCAGTCAACTTAATTCCCGGGGAAACAACTCCCATGGAAACAACTCCCACTGAAGAAGAGTTCCTAGTAAAAATGTATAACTCCCAAGAGGAGACAGAGAACTAAGGAAGAGACAGAGAAATAAGGTACAATGAACTAGAGAAATCACATTTAAAGAAATACAGATAGCCCTAACTGGTTTGGCTCAGTGGATAGAGAATTGGCCTGTGGACTGAAGGCTCCCAGGTTCGATTCCAATCAAGGGCACATGCCCGGGTGCCTGCTTGATCCCCAGTGGAATCCTGCATGAGGCAGCCAATCAATGATTCTCTCTCATCATCGATGTTTCTATCTCTCTCTCCCTCTTCCCTCCTCTCTGAAGTCAATAAAAATATTTAAAAAATACTGATAATAGAAAAATATGAACATGCCATCAGTTAGGGATATTTACAATGTTTAAAGAGAAGTGAAGAGCAGAAGTCATAAGACAAGAACAACACATAGTGAAAAGGACTAGATCTGATTAAAAAATGACAAAGCAAATTCTAAAAATTAAAAAAATATATAGTAATTTACACTTCTGTATCAGGCCAGACAGCATAACTAGTGCCAGGCTTGTCCTGCTACCATAAAACACAAGTCAACTGGATTACATATCGTAAGGTGACTAGATGGTCCCACTTTTGGCAGGACAGTTCAGATTTCTAACCATTTTTCCCGCGTCCTGCTGCGTTTTTAAAAAAAGTCACGATTTTTGGAAAGAATCTTTCCAATCTTTCTAATCTTTCCAAAAATATGGACTTTTTTTAAAACGCCGCGGGATGCAGGAAAAATTGTTAGAAATCTGGACTGTCCCGCCAAAAGCGGGACGATCGAGAGAAGTTGTTTCCAGACATTAAATAACAGCTGAAGTAGGACTGTGATTCCTGAGGGAGGAAAACAAATTAGATGGCTCCTACACTTGCTCTGGCTTCTGGTGGATCAAAACAGAGAGAGGGATGCCCTCTCAAAAATGCTGAGAAGTGAAGGTCAGAGTTCAGGAAGTCTGAAGCGGCAGAAGCTGTAGGGTGGAACAATGGTAGGGTAGAACATCAGCCCCAGGGTGAAATTTTCCTCCTCTGGCATAACACAGGTCACGTGGTTTAGACCTCCCTGACCTTTCACATCACTGGTCATTCAGTTCGGACCCTCCCCTGACCTTTGCTTCCCTGGCACTTTGCTGGCCATGTAGTAGACCCCCTTAGAGGAGAGCAAGGGGCTAGAATAGCCTCATTCTACTCCCATAGAAGCCCTTGCACTACCAGTCCCTTAGCTTAAGGTTAAAGCCTAGAGATTCAATTGAGTTTCAGCTCCGGGTCCAGAAAAAGCAGCAAGGTCAGGAGGAGTGGCCCCGTGGCTGCCATCAGGACCAGCCGCAATGACTACTGATCCCTGTGCTGGCACCGACCAATCAGGAGAGACCACAACCCTGAAAAGACACACCTGGAAAGCTGATGAACATTCTAGTGAGATCCTCCCTCCAGAGAGCGCACCTGCTCTTCCCACCTCCCTGTCCCACCCTCTTCTCTCCCCAGGGTGCACACAGTAGCTGTCTCCCTTCTCTACCTATTCTCTCTCTCTCTCTTCTATATCTCTGTTCTTTCGTCTCTCTCTGTCTCTTCTGTTCTCTCTCTCTCTCTCTCTTCTCTCTAGCTTCTTCTCTCTGTCCTCTCTCTGTCTCTCTCATCTTTTCTCTCGTCTCTCTCTTCTCTCTCTCTCTTCTCTCTCTCCTCTCTCTCTCTCTCTCTGTCTCTCTCTCTCTCTGTCTCTTTCTCTCTCTCTCTCTCTCTCTCTCTCTCTCTCTCTCTCTCTCTCTCTCTCTTGCCCGCCTTTCTTCTTCTCCTTTCTCTGGGTGTATAACGTTGCCTTACTTTCTCCTAAGCTCCAAGGGCCCTTCTTTTGCCTCTGTAATTCAAGCATGTCAAATTCATGAACCACAACGAATATTTTTGCGGCCCAGGCAATATAACGGTATGTAAGAAACGTTTTAATAAAATTTTCGTTATTTAATTTTTACAGTATCTTGTTTTATGTAATTATTAATAATGAACTACCACGTTCCCTAATAACTGATTACTATAATCGTGTTGCATTGATTTCCCTTACACGCCTATGCGCAGGCGCACCATTTCTCTCCACTAATACTATTAATACGTAGCAGTGAATATTTTAGCAGCCAACTGCTATGTCATTAGTCTTGGACTGACTTGTTTGGTGTGTGCAACAAATATTTTGCTTTCGGATAACAAGAAAAATAGGTTTATTTGCCTTACGCTTATTAATTTGTGCAGTTATTCAGTGTCTGGTAAGAAAAATATTAATAATTAAAATGCTATTTTATGCTAATGATTACTTATTTACTTCAGCCCTTTGTATTCAGCGTGTCTCTATTGAAATAAACCTCCATTTCTATGAAAATTGAAGCTTTTTGATGTTTTACGGCCCACATAAACTTAAACATTGTTTGTTTGGCTTACTGTATGTTGTTAGCATTTGGGTTTGACATGCTTGCTGTAACTTGTTTCCTGAGCTGTCACAACCTAGCTGACTCACTTCTTTCTATTTCCGTGGCTTCCTAAAGAAACGTTATCCTTCCATTGGATTTCCTTGGCCCTGAATTCTTTCTTTGCCGAACTGAAGCACCGAGGTTGCTGAGCCAAGGTCCAATTATAAATAACACCTGGTACCGTTCTATCACTACCTTGTTGATAGACATTTGGGTCATTCCCACATTTTGACTACTGTGAATAATGCTTCAGTGAATATTGGTGCACAAGTGTTCATGTAAAAAAAACATTCAAACTTGTAAAGAATTTTTGTGAGTTTATTTGAGCCAAACTGTGGACAATTGCCAGGAAGCAGGATCTCAACATATCGGGATAATGCTCCAGAATGGCAGTTTTTCACCTTGCTTTGTACATTACCATCAAAGGAGGGGATGAAGTAATGAAATCCATTGGTGATAGATTGGGGAGGCGGGAGAAAGCAAAGCAAGGGAACCTCTGGGATTGGATAAAAAGTAAAATGATAGACACACACTTGTTTTACTTAAGAGGCTATGCAATGTTTCCCAAACTTCTCTCGGGATGAGAATCACCTGGTGGAGTTGTTAAAATACAAATTCCTGAATCCCAACTAAGAAGTGCTAAACTAGAATTTTTTGGAACATATAGGTAAGCTTAGAGCACTAGTTAAGTATACAATTTTATCTGTATGTTCCCAAAAATTCTAGTTTAGCACTTCCTTTTTTTTTTTCTTCTTTTAAAAAAATATATATTTTATTGATTTTTTACAGAGAGGAAGGGAGAGAGATAGAGAGTTAGAAACATCGATGAGAGAGTCATCAATCAGCTTGCACACCCTTCACTGGGGATGTGCTTGCAACCAAGGTTCATGCCCTTGACCGGAATCGAACCCAGGACCCTTCAGTCTGCAGGCTGACGCTCTATCCACTGAGCCAAACCGGTTTCGGCTAGTTTAGCACTTCTTAGTTGGGATTCAGGAATCTGTATTTTAACAACTGCACGAGGTGATTCTCATCATGAGAGAAGTTTGGGAAACACTGGGCTATAGGATAGTTAACAGTCAACAACTAACTTGATAGCAATAGCAATTAAGGAATTTGTGGTCTCCGTCCTGGTGCCCAGGTGCATGTGGTTGTGCCCTGAGGAGTCTGGGAAAGGGGAAGTTACAAGTTACCCTGACATTTCACAGGATAGTTCTTAGATGCAAAAAGACAATAGACTCAATAAAGATCCGAAGTTGATCTTTGTCAAGGAAGATACTGGCCTAGGACATGACTACCCACTACAAACTGCTTTTTAATGAAAGGTTTTTAATCTTAGACCATCCTGTGTGGTTATTTACTAGTAGGTCTCCACGCAGGCCTTCCCTAAGTTAGCCAGGTTAGCTATCAGCATATGGCCCTTCTTTTGTCCGCACAAATATGTATTGGAGTTTGTGCTTTCAATTCTTTTGGGTCTATACCTGGAAGTAAAATTGCTGGATCATGTAATTCCTTGTTTAACTTTATGAGGAATTGCTAAACTTTTCCACTGTGGTTGCACCATTTTAACTTCTAATCAGTAATGTATCAGGGTTCTATTTTTGTTCTTTTTTTCGGAAATATTTTAAGTTGATTTTAGAGAAAGGAAGGGGGAGGAAGAGAGAAAAAATCGATGTGAGAGAGAAACATTGATCAGTTGGTTGCCTCACACACACACCCCAAATGGGGATCAACTCTGCAACCTGGGTATGTGCTATGACTAGGAATTGAACCTGCCATCTTTTGGTGTACTGGACAGGGTTCCATTTTCTTCATGTTCTTCTTTTTTTAAAATATAATTTTACTGATATCAGAAGGAGAGGAAGGGCGAGGGAGAGATAGAAACATCAATGATGAGAGAGAATCATCCACTGGCTGCCTCCTGCACGCCCCCTAATGGGGATTGAGCTCACAAGCTGGGCATGTGCCCGTGACCTCCTGGTTTGTGGGTCAGTGCTCAACCACTAAGCCACATTGGCTGGGCCATGTTCTTTTTATAAGCTACTTAAGTCAATATAATTTTCAGATCCTTCCTGAACAGCTGGAAGGAAATTTCATTCCTTCCTTTGCCCTTCACACCTACACCAGGACTGTAATGAAATGCAAGAAGTGGTGCTGGGCCCTTTGGTCCACACAGATTATCACTGAAATGTTCTTTGCTGCTGTCTGACACCTTCATGGTTGGCAGCTTTCTCTCACCCCCTCTTGAGACAAGGGACATTCTTTTTTTCTTTCTTTCATTTTTTTATTAAGGTATTATATGTGTACATATCTTACCAATTCTCCTCCCTCTCATATATTCCCTCCCTCCCCGGAATTTTGCCTCCATTGGTTATGCTTATATGCATACATACAAGTCCTTCGGTTGCTCTCTTATCTCCTCCATAAAGGGACATTCTTGTAAAGCAGAGAATCCCAAGGTTTGTATCTTCTACTCCCCACACATTGCTTGTAGCCATTCCCCTTTGAGGTTATGTAAGCCCCCAGGTCTACCAAAGACCCCTCTCTCAATCCCTGAAAGCATTTTGCTCTCTGGGAGCAAGTCTTATTGCCCTTCCTGTTTGTTGAAACCCCCCAATTTCTCTGAATAATTTTGTGCATCTTTACATCCTCAAACAAAAGACCGGAAATCTTGCAGATAACTTCTGCTTTTCTGCCAGCCACATACTTTCCCAGAAACAAGCAAGCCCTGGGTCACAGTAAGTTACCTGGTCAATTGAGCAGGGGAAGGAAATGGAGAAATTTTAGGAGGAGGGCAGAATTCATACTTCAAAAGACTATCCAGACTAGTAAACAGATAGCAGAAAGGAAGGGGGAGGAAGACGGAGGAAGAGCCTTTTCTACTAGTTCTGAGAATTCTGAATGACAGACAACCTACTTAACATTCTTTTGAGCATTTTCATCCACTGTTTCTGGTTTTATCTAGATGCTTGGTGCTGTCCAATATAATAGCCATATGTGGCTGTTTATATTTAAATTAATTATATCTAAGTAAAATGGAAAATTCAAGTCCCCAGGTATACTAGTCAAACTGAAAATATTCAATAAGCACATATAAATATCGTATTGCAGAATGTTCTATTGGATGTCATTGCTTTGGTTCACACTTACTCGTCTGAAATCACACTCCTCCCCACACACACCCGCACCTGCTTATCACTTCCTCTTTAAAAAAAAAATATTTTATTGATTTTTTACAGAGAGTCAGAAACATTGATGAGAGAGAAACATCAACCAGCTGCCTCCTGCACACTCCCTACTGGGGATGTGCCCACAACCAAGGTACATGCCCTTGACCGGAATCGAACCTGGGACCTTTCAGTCCACAGACCGACGCTCTATCTACTGAGTCAAACCGGTTAGGGCTTATCATTTCCTCTTATTACCTAGCTCCCTCTCCTATATTTTCCAAAACACCAAACCCACGTTGCTGTTGGATATTAAAATAAAAGTATTTGCTAAAGGTTTAGCAATAGCAGAGGACAAAGGAAAATAACTGAAAAAGAAATAGCAGGTGTCGCTGTTGCTCAAATTCACTAACCTGCAGGTACAAAGTGTAAATCTAACCGACCGGTAAACTGACTGGGCCTCAGTTCTGCAACTGGTGGGTAGAGAAATATTTTAATAGTTACCTTTTTATTCAAGTGTTAACAGATTTTGCGTATTTGTCATGATGCTCTTCTCTTCTAATTAAAAGCACCGTGTAATAATAGATGGCGAAAAGTTTAAAAATTAAAATCAAGTATTCTTATATAACTAGAGGTTTATTTTCATTTCAGAAGCAATGTTTCCCTAGTGCCTGGACTACTGCTCTATGGTGGATCTTCCTCTTGCTTCTTTTCTCTTTCTTGCTCAAGGTCTTGAACACTCTTTCAGGATACCAATGCAAATACTGAGACCTTGTGATATGATGAGAAACTTGTCCCTGAGTTTTCTAAATCTCTCCTTATCTAGACTGGCCTATGGCCTTTTTCCAGCGCCAGAGACGCCCCTTCATCTTTCACAAACAAAAGGGCAGCTTTTCTGTGTGAAGAACGTTGTCATTCTTCTAAAATGCTGAAGCAGTTCCTGGGAAATTTCCCGTTTATAACTGGCAATTTGTCTTCCTCCTTCATGCTGCTTTTTGAATTTCCCCATGTTTTCCAGATTTCTGTGTAATATTTCCTTCACAGATCCTACTTTACTTAGTTATCCATGCTTTTAGATATTTGCATGTTGGGTTTATTTTCATCTTACTACAAACACAGAGATTAGTAACTTTGCAGGCACTACTCATTATTTCCCTAGGACAGATTCCTAAAAGTGAAATCATTTGACCTGTAATAATTTAGTAAATATTCCCTGCTGGCCCACAGGGGAGAAGTTTACATTCCCTTACCCCTCCTCTCCCACCATGGATGTTGGCCTTGGCCAAATGACTTGCTTTGGCTAGTGAAACTTTAGCATATTTGACACAATCAGAAAACTTAGATATGTGTCTGCATTTGCCCCACTCCCTTTTGATAAACAGCCATGAAGACCTTTAGACGAGGCCGGGGGTGGGGGTGGGGCGGGTGGTGGTGGTGGGGAATAGGCTTGAGTCCACCTATAACCTTGGGTTTACCAATAACCTAGCCCAGCTTCCTCCTTCTAAAGCAGAGCCACCCAGTTGAGCCCATCCTAAATCAGCCAAACTGCCATCCACCTACAGAAGCAGGAGAATGAGAAAAAATATTGTTCACAGTGAATTTTAGGATGGTTACACAGCATATTGTAGTGTCCAAATAATGCGTTTTTCATATTAAGGTTGCATTCAGTTACAGGGTTTCCCAAATGTTCTTGACAAGGGTTCTAGACGAAACTTAATGGTTCTGTTTCCAGAAAACTCCAAGACAAATCTTTACTGTGACTAAAGAATTGTCTTATATTATTTTAGACTATTCGTTTGTTGTTCTTCTTTTTTTTTTTTTTTAATTTATTGTTGATACTGTTACAGATGTTCACCACCCCCTCACCTGTTTCTCTCCTCCAACCACCCTCCACTCCCCAGCCCCACTAGGCCTTTGTGATGTTATTATCTGTGTCCATGGACTATGAACATAATGAGTTTCTGTTCTTTAATCTCTCCAGTCCCTTCCTACTCCCCTCCTCTCTTAGATTTGTCAGTCTGTTCCATGTGTCTATGTCTCTGGTCCTATTTTGTTCACCAATTTATTTTGTTCATCAGATTGGACATATAAATGAGATCATGTGAAATTTGTCTTTCCCTGCCTTGCTTATTTCACTTAGCATAATAATCTCCAGGTACATCCATGCTGTGTCAAAGGGTGAGGGATCCTTCTTTTTTTATAGCTGTCTAATATTCTGCTGTGTAAATGTACCATCTCTTTGTTATCCATTCGTCTACTGATGAGCACTTGGGCTATTTCCAGACCTTCGAGATTGTAAAATAATGCTGCTATGATCATAGAAGTGCATATATTCTTTCTGATTTGTGTTCTGGGATTCTTAGGATATATTGCTAGAAGTGGGGTCACTGGGTCAAATGGAAGGTCCATTTTTAATTTTTGGAGGAAACTCCATATTGTTCTCCACAGTAGCTGCACCATTCTGCATTTCCTGTGAACTAGTGTTCCCTTTTCTCCACTTCCTCACCAGCACTTGTTGTTTGTGATTTATTGATGGTAGCCATAGTTCCTAGTGTATAAACTTTTTAATGTATTTCTAGATCCAATTTGCTAAATATTTTGTTGAAGATTTCAGCATCTATGTACATCAGCAATATTGGCCCATGATTCTCTTCCTGTGTAGTGTCTTTTTCTGGTTCTGGAATTAGGAAAATTCTGGCCTCATAAACTGAGCTTGGAAGTCTTAACTGTAGTGAGTGTCCTGTGGGACCCAGTGGTGTAATCTCTTTGATCTCCTGAGCTGGGTGCTGTAGGAATGTCCCTTATGTAGCCCCCCCCCCCCCCCCCCCGGGATAGCTGAGTTTTGATTGCTGTTGTCCAGATAATGGGTGGGCTCAGCTCTTGAGTTGACTAATAGTGCGGCTCAACCCCGGCAACATTGTGCAAATTGTTGTGCAGGTACTGACAGAACAAAATAAGACAAAACAGGATCAAACTGAAAACAAAAGAAAATATGAAAATCACCATAACCAACAAAAACAAAAACAACAACAACAATAATGCATAAGGAGAAAAAAGAGACACACAAAAAATAACAAAAAATGCAAAAAGGATTAGAGGAGAAAAAACAACTGAAATAAAAAAGAGAGAACAAGAAAAGAGAAGTAATAAAAATTTTAAATAAAATAATTTTAAAGAGTAATAATAGTAAATGATAAAA